AAAGTAAAAAAGTCAATGGAAAAAGTCAAAATTACCAGGAATCCCAATTAGTGATACTTCGGGACCCGCTGCTCTAGGATTCAAAATTGGATTCATTTCCGTTTTTATTTCCTATTAAATTATACATCAATATAAGTTAAATCACAAAAAAAAATTACCATTTTTTTCATTTTCAAAAAAAGAATACTCACAGGTGCAGAGCCTGGAAGTTGTTGGCTACGAGCTTGAACTTGAGGAGACATACTGCCAGCTGTCCCATGTAACACTTGCCTGAAAAAAGAATATATTAATAACATATAATTATTACAACCAATAAATAAATAAATAAATAAAAATAAACATTACCCTGAAGGTTGTCCAGCAGCTGCAGCAGCAGATTTCAAGATTGAAGCTTGGTTGGGATCCAAAAGCTGGCCCACATTCTCACCATATCTCTGTTAGCAAATATAAAAACAAATCAACCAAATCCCATAAAAGTCAAAAATTTGACTTTTTAAAAGAATATTCTCATATTCATATCATCATATACACATATATACCTTCATAGCTGCATCATCTAAAGAGTCTCTAGGAAGTGGGACTTTCAATTTCTCCTCATACATTTTTGTAGCAATAGCATTGACTCCAGGATTCTGTCTCATAAGTGGCTCATTTCCAACAAGTCTGTTTGATGCCCCATTCAGAAGGTGGGCCCCATCTCTCCTTTGTTGTTGTTGTTGCTGTTGCTGTGCTTGTTGCTGCTGTTGTTGCTGCTGCTGTTGTTGCTGTTGTTGCTGCTGTTGTTGCTGTTGTTGCTGCTGTTGTTGTTGTTGTTGCTGTTGTTGTTGTTGAGCTTGGCGTTGCAACATGAGCTGTTGCATTTGCATCTGTTGATGTTGTTGTTGTTGTTGCTGTTGTTGTTGTGGATGTGGTGGTTGTTGTTGTGGTTGCTGTTGTTGTTGTTGTTGTTGTTGTTCTCTTGCTTTGATTAACTGTGTCTGTAGTTATCAAAGTATGGATTTTTATGTATAGATATGTATGTATGTATGTATGTATCAATAGATTAAAAGAAGAAACTAAGATCTAAAACTAACCTCAATGTAAGAGGCTGCAACTTCTGAGTGTTTCTCATTGGTTCTTGCAATAAATATGTCCCAAAAGACTGACCACCATTCGAATAGAAAGCCACCAGGTGCATCAATAGCTGTAAAAATAACAAAAGTTTGGTAATTTTTACTCCATGTGAGGATAAAAGTTATAAAATAGCCTAATGTTTTGGAGTTAGATTATTAGCAGTGATGTATTTGGAATGATGATAAAGGAAAAGGAGAAATGGGTGATATTGAAATTATAATGGAATCTTACCAACAGGGTCAGATGAGACTTTTCCCTCTTGTTGAAATGCTTGGGCTGAAGTTTTTAAATCCCTCTTTACCAAGTAGTCATGTATATAAACATCTAACCTGTTAAATGAATCAGATAGCAGGTTTATTAGTTGGAAATTATAACAAAGTTTGAAACTTTACATGAAGAAGAACAATTTCAAGCTAATTAGAGTCGCTAAAGCTTCCAATTGACTGGAAATACTCATCTAGCTGAAATCATTGAAGTTCGAAACTTCATACAAAAAATACGAGTTCATACATATACCCAAATGAAGAACACTAACACAAGATAAATCAAGCAAGACTACAAACACATATTCGACCGATACTGAATCTATAAGACAAATCCAGCTGAGGGAAGAAATAAATTTAATAAAAAAGTAATGAGAAAAGCTGCTGAAAGGACAAACCCTAAAAAGACGGGAAGCGGGATAAAACAAAAAAACAAAATTGGATAAGATGAAAAAAGAAAACAACAAACAAGCGACAGAGAGCATAAATCTAACAGCAAACTATGAACATAACACAAGTGATTGGAAATTACAGAGAATTTTATAAGGGGCAAAAGAAACTTACATTTTATCAGCTTCCCAGTGAGTCTGAGACATTTTTTCTTGAAGAAAAAGGCTCAATAGATACAAATTGTTAGATCTTCATATGATGAGGAACTTACAGACCAGGGTTTTTGTTCTCCGTTAAAACCCTTTGAGCAATTGATGTAAGAATTCCAGAATATTTAAGTGAAAAAAGAAGATCCTTCGAGGGAAAAAGAGAGAGAAAAGGGGGAAAATTCGGAGAGAGAGAGAGAGAGAAAGAATAGAACAGAAGAGTAAAAAAGAATCTCAGAAAATCAAGATGACTGTAATATTTGGATACGATTCTGAGGATGTGGATTTTATTGCACAAAAAAATCGAGAGAGAAAAAGAGAAGACCAAAGGACTACACTTTTCGTAAGCAAGAAAATAGATGTTTTTCTCATGTGAAAATAGGCAAAATTACATGATTGGTCCTTGTTGTTTATCAAAATGGACGTGATCACGTCAACTATCAAAACGTCTATCCGTTTTGTTTATGGGGTTTCAAAAACTTGTTCAACTGGTTACGCCGTCCATTGTTAGACGTTAGTCGACCCACATGCCACTCACACGAGGGGCAATTTCACCATTCCACCTTGTCAATGTCAATTTGGATGATTTAAACTTTTCTTCCTCTCCACGTACTCTTAAAAGTTGTCAAGTTCTTTTACCAATGGCTTCTTCTTCTTCTCTTTTCTCTCCAAATTCTCTCAAATTCTTAGAACATATCTGTGTGTTCTTTTGGAAGACATGTCTTCATTGTAACCTCTTAGACTTATTTAAATCTTGGAAATGAGGTTTTAGACTTATTTAAACTAGATCACAATGTTGATTCATTGGTTGGTTCGACCCCATATGTGTCGTACGGCAGTTGTTGTGATTCTATGTCTGTTATGCTAAAGAAATTGCTTGAACAAGCCCTAAAACAAAAATGCATGAAGCAATGGTGATGAAGATCTTTCTAGTCATTAGTTGGGCCTTTTTTTTTCTTTTATGATATTCAAAGTTAACTAAGTTTATATGAGGGAAGCTTGCATGTAGGAATCTTGTTTGGGTTAGGAATTTCAATATAGATAGTATGTGGTCTTTTGTTGTTGTAATGATGAAACTATAATGGTGTTTGTTGTAGCTTAAGTTCTAATGGAAAAGTTGTTCATAAAATTATGTGTTTATTATAGGAATTAATTTATGTGTGGTAATGGTATGCCACAATGGTAAAAAGTTAGTACATATTGTTGGATTAGGTGTCTAAGCTCATAACTATAATTGGTATGTATTTGACCCGATAGTAGCATAGTCCTTTTGGGTTGTCTTCACCATAGCAACTTAACTGAATGAATTATGGAGAATAAGGTTAATTGTGATTATTAATATATTATAACAATAATATATTCATTGAGAAATCATATTACTTAATTAGTATTGATCATAAATTAATTTGGAATTAATTTGGTGATCAAAATAGACATATTGAATTAAGGGGACTGGTATTGTAATTATCTAATAGTTGTAAAGTTGGGCTTGTGGATCCCTAAGAAGGGATGGACGAAATCTATGTTTAGCCCACATAGAATTTGTCCATAAGGGGATTCTGGAAGGATCTAATGGGTTGCTTAAGGCCTAAGCAGAGAATTAGAGTTCCAGTCAGAAACCCTAGCAGCTCAGCTATATAAGGAACCCCTAGGACTCCCAAAATCGGTCACTTGCTTCCAAAGAGAATACCCAGGCCGATTTTGAGCCTCCTAACCTCTCTCATATTCTTCCAACTTGCTATTTAGTGTTTGTGACTCACTATAGGTGCAACATTTGAGGCACTAATGTTGGGTCAAAAATATGGTTTATACTTTGCTTTTCTAGGCAAATGTATTTTTCTGTAATGTTTTATGAGTTTACGGCCAGGGAGATGTTTACGGCCGTAAACCCATTTTCGGCCCATGTTTCTCATGTATATATAGGGGGAGGAGTGTAAGGGTAACGTTTTTTTAAGTGATGAACAGAAGAGAATAGGGAGCTTAAGTGTGTGTATGTATGTGTGAATCTTGTATCCGGATCTTCATTCATATCAATATATACAAGATTCATCATTTTCTTCTTCTTCTTCTCTTTTATTTGATCTGACATCATCCGTTTGATTGGGATTCCGCACCATCAAATGGATCTGATTGATACACAAGTAGATTGGGGACTTACAATTGGTATCAGAGCTTGGATTGTATTAGTCAATTTTGTCAAATCTGGAGCTTATTTGATCTTATTTTCAAAAAAAAAAAAAAAAACTTATGTTCTTGGATAGATCTCTGAAAATTAAAGGGCGTTTGTTCTTCGCATTTTTGATAAAAACGAGTTTTTGATCGAATTTTGGAGCAAAAAATGGTGAAAAACGTCGTTTTTCACAAAATCTGCGAAGAGTTTACTGCCGGAAACAGTTTACGGCGGGAGTTTGCGGTCGCCGGAGTTTACGGCCGGCGGTTTGCGACCGGCATTTATGGTTCGGCGGCTTACGGCCTCAACTTGGTGGGATAGGCTCGGCTCGACAGCTTCAGTGGCTTACCTGTGCGCTTCAATAAAAAGGGGAACAAATTTGCGGGTGTCGGGGATCAAACCTAGGTCCCCAGGTTCATCAGCAACACGCCTTACCAGTTGATCTACCAAGCATCTTGTTCCATTCCTTTTGTTTTTAATTGAAAAACTCTCATTTTCGAACCCAATTTCGCAAATTGACACTTTTAGCTCAAAAATTCAATTTCTTTTAGTTTTAAATTCCTTTTTCCTCCAAAATAATAATAATAATAATAATAATAATAATAATAATAATAATAATAAATTGATTTTTGACTTTTATTTTTGATTTTTTTTAATTTAATTTAAAAAAAACATTTGACTTTGACTTTCAAGTTTGACATTTGACTTTCTCGTTTAACTTTCAAATTTTCAAATTTAGCTTTTCGTTTTGATTTTTAAGTTTGATTTTTTAAGTTTGACTTTTGTGTTTGACTTTTAAGGTTGACTTTTGAGGTTTATAGTCAAAGGGCATTTTTTTTAAAAAAAAATTGATTTTGGCTTCAAGTTGTGATTTTAATGGTTTTTGAGGTTAACAAGGGAATTGAAGACATGAAAGAGAATCGTCAGGATATGTTAAGACAAAATTTTAACATGTTCAACTACATTCCCGGAGAAACCCTGGAAGCTCAGTTGGAGCGATTTACCACACTCACTACTGAGATGAATATAGTTGGGATCTTCTTGAACAAATCTGAGATAAACAAAAAGCTACTGAATTCACTTTCGAAATCGTGGGATATGAACGTAGTTGTCATCAAGAAGACAAAAGATCTCAATCATCTTAGTCTTGCTGCTGTAATTGAAGAACTTGATGCTTGGAAGTGTGGAAAAACAATGAGTTCCACACACATCCCGGTCAATGAAGTTTCATATACTCCATCTTGTGAAGATACAATTAAATTTCTTCGTTAACATAATGATTTGCTAAAAGGGGAAGTCGAGGATCTAAAATACGAAGGATATCAACTTAGGAAAGGATAGAAACCCCTGAAGGCTGAATTAGAAGCAAAAACCAAAGACTTTAGGAAGCTTCAGGAAGATTATAGTAATAAATGTGAAAATTATGACTATGTTAAGAAACAACTTGCTGAGTTAACTGCTGAGCTTGACACATTAAAAAGCAAATTTGAAACTGCAGATTTTGATTTTAAAAAATTTGATGTGTCAAGCGAAGTAGTTGCAAACATGATAGGCCATTGTTTGTAGTTTAAAAATAACCAGCAAAAAGGTCTAGGGTATGATAGTGTTCCTCCACCTTTCAATCATAACTATACATCCATCCCTATGAAACAAGAAGACATTAACAGGGAGGCACATCTTCAATATGGAAAACCAGTTGGATCTGTGTTAGGAGGTATTCAGGTTGAAAATACTAATGTTTCTACTTCATGTGCAGGTAAAGTAGTAGAAGATGAGAACAAGGAGAACACTACTGAACAAACCAATAACTCCTTGAACTTAGAATTTGTTGCTTCGAATTTTATTACTCCTATCAAACCTGTCATTGAGAAATACAGGCCTCCAATTCCAGCGCAACAGAGTGCTTGTTGCAAGTGTGCATGTGAGATCAATAAGAGACAAGGCATGGATATGCCACCAGGTGCAGGAAGAGACAACTTCCCAGTGAAGAAAAAGATATGTTTTCACTGTGGAACACCTGGACATATTTCCCGAAACTGTCCAAATCACGCATATGTTCCCTACTACGCACAAGGCTGGCAGAACGCGCCAAGAGGGAGATACTTCAAAAGAAACTCCTCAAGCTCACGTTCATACCATGGTGACTGGAACGCGCAGAAGGCCAAGAATCTGAATCCCAAGGGCAAGAAGGAAATGTCAGTCAAGAAGCCCAATCCAGGAGATGCTCCAGTGAAACAAAGACCGGTTAGGTCAAAGTCATCTCAACGGCCGGCATCAAGATCAAAAGAAAGTGCCCAGACACCCATCCAATCCAACAAGAAATGGATTAAACCCAACTTTAGATGGGTACCAAAGGTTCAATCTCCCAAATCACTTAATGATTCTAATATTTCCACATCTTTTGTTTGTGATAAGCAGGATATGTCATGGGAGAAAGTACCTTGCAAGGATGAAAAAGGTCGACCCAATTTCAAAATGGACTGGGTTCCAAAGACCAACTGATCATGCTCTGTGTCGGGGCAGCTATGGAGGCATATCATTAGACTTCGGTTTGTTGGTAGTGCCTGTTCCAGGCACATGACAGGAGGCATCTCTGAACTGTACAACACTCGGAATTTTGTTTGAGAGTATGTGTCCTTTATGGGAAGGGAATAAAGGAAGGGATCACATAGGGTTTGTGATTAACGACATGAAGAATTTTCGGATCTATTATGAGATTATGTGTGCTGTTCTCAGACCTTCTGGAAGCAAATTCAATCGGTGAATTACGATTTGTGTTTTCTTCTCTATACTTCTGAGTTTATCTTACTCTGATTCATTTTAAAGACAATTTTTCATTTTTTTAATAGTTTTTCGTTAGTAGTTATTATTGGGAAGTGATGTCAAGAATGTGATAACGAGCAGTTTAAAACATGTGTAAAGGACTGAATCTAAATTGTCTAAACTCTGTGTTCAATATGCTGGTAGGCACGAAGGATTTGACAGTCTGGATTTAGATAGGATTGTTTGGACTGACCATACAATGCTCAGGTAGATTGAGCAGTGAAATAAACACGGGAACCCACGGGATACACTAAATTAATACGCAGTTGGTATCAGAGCATTAGTTTAAGCGAACTAGGAATTTGTAGGATTTCTAGACTTAAACTTAGAATGCTAAGTGGAATTTTGAGATGTGTGTCTGTTATGTTTTAGACACGAGCACTAGTTTATTTTAGGGAAGTTGCCT